GCAAAGACACATTCCCTTGACAATTAGAGCCAGAGATTACATCTAGACAGCACTGAATGAACCAGGACTTTGGCAATTACCCAGGTCATTAAATCTGTGTAGACATCCAAATGGGAAAATTCAGGCCACCTCACTGGCATGGAGTTTGCAGAATTCTCTTTGACATTTGCACAATTTTTATTCTCCCACATTTCTCTACAAAAATAGCCTTCTAGTTCACAAGCCTTTTACCACATGTCCTTCTTACTGTCTGTTAGGCTACTTCTAGAAAAATTCTTGACCAGAAACTTCCAAGGAGCCGGAACCACTCAATTTGGCTGCCTGGACATGTGCCTAATGAACTGTATAAGGGTTCGATGATAGTGAAGGCACAGAGAACCTATCCCATGGTCTCTGTCCCCTGAGCAAGCCTACCTATGCCACTCAGGACTATCTTGTGCCTTTCTGACATGAAACTCAAAATCTTTTTTTTGTAGTTTTTGGCCAGGGCTGGGTTCAAACCCACCACCTCCAGTACAGGGGGCCAGTACCCTACTCCTTGAGCCACAGGCGCTGCCCTGAAACTCAAAATCTTAAGTATGTTCCCCCAAATACCCTAGATTCTCTTAAGAGTCCATTAATTCATCAATTTATTTTAGAACTTTTCATTTATTTATTCAACAAATAAATATGTTTTGAGCTCCAACTGCATGCCAGAATTATTCTGGTATTTAGAGTATGAAGAAGATAAAGTTTCTATTTTCAAGGACCTTTCATTCTAGTTGGGTGAGAAGAAAATAGACAAAAATATGTCAGGTGGCAACAAACTCTACGAAGAGAAAGCAAGGAGGGTATCTCATTATCTATCACCATATAACATATCAGTGCTAAACTTAGTGGCGTAAAACAACCCTTTATTATTTCTCCTGAATCTGTGGCTTGGCTGTGCTCATCTGGGTGATTCTGCTTCTGGAGCTCTTGTCTGGGCTCGCTTGTGAGGTTGCAGTCATCTGGAGCTCAACTAGGGCTAGAGGGCTAAGATGCCTCATTCACATGACTGAGGCTTTGGTGCTGGCTGTTGGCTTGCCCTTTCTCTCCCTTTCTCTTCTCATGTCTAGCCATGTGGAGAACATTCGTACATGGTGGTGGGAACATTCCAAGAGAGCAAAGGCAGAGGCTGGGAGACCTCTTTTGATTTAGTACCAAGTCATGCCACAGCCACAATCACTTCCATCACATTCTACCAATGCCAGTCACAGGGTCATCCCAATCTCGAGAGGTAGTTGCCACCTCTTTTTTTTTTTTTTTTTTTTTGAGACAGAGCCTCAAGCTGTCCCCCTGGGTAGAGTGCTGTGGCATCACAGCTCACAGCAATCTCCAGCTCCTGGG